AACTTTTTTTTTTTTAGTTTAAATAAATTGAATAAAAATTTTAAAAAAGGAATTACAAAAAAGTAGGAGTGAGATATAATCAAGGACAACCAGAAAAATTTACAAAACCATGAAAGAATGTTGTCAGGGCGCTTAAAGACCAGAATGACTTGAAAATATGTATTATAAATGTGTTTATGATTATCTTTGAAAAAAAGCGTGACAGATTGGAGAATGTGTCTGTGACATTTACATGTGAGTCAAGGCTTTCATACACTAGTATTGTAGAGTATTACAATATAGTTTTATATCATTTTATGGCAAACATTATAGTGTTACCTCACAATATAGTATAGCATGATATTATAAATATAACCTGAGAGGCTGGTGTAATTGTTGTAATGCTAGAAAGAGATTTTCTTTTTCCTAGTAAAAGTGAGTCTAAATTACAAAGTGGCATCAAGTTAAAGGGAAAGCGCCTCTGCTCCAGGGCCAGCTGCGTCTCTGCTCCCTCACTTCCCGGGTTCTGTAATGAACACACCAGCCAAGTCCCTGTTTCCTTCACACACACACATGCACACACACACACACACACACACACACAACTTTGGAAAGAACTTTGGAAGATCAGCTTTTCAGTTTTGACATGTTAGGTTAGGCAGTTGACCATATGAGCCTAGAGTTCAGGAAGAAGCTCTGGGTGAGAGATTCAAGTTTGGAATTTATTGGCATATACTTATATCTATGCCACAAGACAATTGAGATCACCAGATAAATGTAGACATATTCTCTTTGACATTTTTGGAGATGAGGAAGAAGCAAAAGGAGGCTTACCAGAGGGCCCAGAGAGTGAGGGATAAACCACGAGCGTGCGGTGCCCGGGAAGGCAAGCGCGGGGAGTCATTGAAGGAGGAGGCGCCCATCAACCGTGTCCTAAAATTGGGCCAGAGAAGTGACTTTGGATCAGCAGTCTGGTGATTGCTGCTGACTTGTTGAGAGAGGTTTCGGTGGAGCAAAAGGGGGCGAGCTGACTGTAGCGGCCTCAGGGAAGGGCGGGAGGACAGAGAATGGAAGCTGCTTAGGGGACAGCTCTTTCAAATTTCTCTTTGGAGGGGAGCAGATCATTTTGGATCCTGGGGTCTTTGGGCAATGTCAGTGCTGCTGTGGGTGACATGAGAATCCTGGCATCACAGAAGGAAGACAGAAGGGGCACCAGGAGAGGGACAGGGCAGCTGAGGAGGCGGGCGCCCAAGTTGAGCACTGCCTGTTGCATGTCACTTGGAGTTCAGGTCACTGCAGTCTCCACGGTCAGTGAGGAACCTTCCATGTGCCACAGCAGCTGAGGCTGGATGGAGGCTCTCACAAAAAAACGTTTAATAGCATTCCTCCGTCATGTCCACCTCATGTCTGTGGGGAAGGGAGTTTGGAATGGGTGTAAAGGCAGGGAGGAGAGGCTGTTTTCATGCCCTGGACACTGTGGAAATCAGCATGCCTTCTGTTGAGGGACGAGAACAGGAGTTTCTATTAATTAATGTATCTCTGTAACACTGTCTGCCGGGAACTCGGTAACCCAGGAATGTAGATGTTCTAATGAATCAAGTAATCTAGCTAACAAGCACCTACAACATGTGGTTTAAATTAATTATCAACATTGAAGCAAGTGTAAGTCTGTGTGTGTTGCAGATGTTGAGATGAAGACTAGATGGAGCGCTCTCTCAGCAGCCAGCACCTACCGCGCCAGTGACTTTGGGCACCACAGATTCAGGAACGGATCCTCTTCTTCCCAGGAGTAGAGACTTTATTTCATCCATTCATCCAGCATAGGCTCTGTGGAGATAATTGCTGTCAACCGTGGGATAGGGAGACAGATGAAACAATTAATCAAAGAGATTATGAGATTTGGGGTGCCTCCAGGTCTTGCTGTCATCATCTTTGAGAAGAGCCATGTATTGCTGTATCTCTAAAAAGTCAAGTTCACATTCTCTAAGGCATAACGTCCTCATGGACAAACTACGGATATTCCACAATGTAGCCTCTCCTTTGACAGTTTTCTTTTTGGAAAACAGTTACAGTGTGGTCTGGAACCCTGGCTTGGAAATTAAAAGGACTAGATTCTAGTTCCCATTACTGTTTAGTCTGTCACTTTGGGAAACAAAATCTCTGAACTACTCTGTTCTCCCATTTGATAAATAGGTATAACATTGTTATTATATATGCCATAAACTGTGCGGCTGTAATAGTATGGAAAACAGTAAAGTAGCTTACGAAAAGGTTACATAACAGCTGTAGATAATGATTTATGAGTTATCGATTTTAAGCTTTTGTATTATACTTCGGATTGGTATTCAGTTTTTCTCTCTTTTCCACGATATTTAAAGCACATAGGGTACGCTAAGAGTTAAGGATTTAGCAAGAGGGAAAAGTAAGGTATTACTCTTAACTTGCACAAAACTGTTCATAGTACCAGTATAATAAGCCACTTTTCCTAGTTGATTGCTACATTAAAATAAATGTTACTAATATGTGTCAGAATTCACCAATATGCAAAATTGAAATTATAATTATATCACAGAAATAATGATGAAAATAACACTTCTACCACATTTTAAAAACTGATTTCATTTTCCTTTTTAGGATTTAAAGTGTTCAACTCTTCACTCTGGACATATGATTAGAAAGATATAGTTCTATTGATTATTTTTATACTAGAATAATATTTCATTATTAATCCATTTAAGTCTTCTCTCATATCAGTTCATCAGTGCTACCAATTAAAAATAGAAAATGTATATGCTCAATTTCAAGAATTAAAAATAATGCCTTGGGAGTAGCATTTCTTTCCTGTGGTGAGGGGGTTGTTGGATTTTCCAATTAAAGAAGTCTCCATACTGGAAATGTGTAGTCAATTATGAAAATTATTTTTGAATAGCCAATTTGCATATCCCTAATTGTATTCATTTCTTTTGAAAGACTGAACGTGGAATTTATGATGTTTTGATTGGTTACTCCTGTACTTGTGTTATTAATACTATTGCTAACAAGGTTCCCCTATGAATGGGGCCTTGAGTGCCTTTCCTGAATAAATGTTTGAATCGTAAATAGGTTTGTTTTATTTAATGAATGAAAAACATCTGAAGATTTACTGGCAGTGTTCAGGTTTGCACACACTGCACTCTGTTGGGTGAGCAGCAGCATCCCTACGCTGCCTGCTGCGCTCAGTTCGGACTCTTACACATCCAGAGGAGAAGCGGTTGAAGCTCCTGTCTGGCGGTGCCGTCTGCTGGCCAAAAATGCGGTGTCAGTGGGGCTACCCTCACTGTACAGCAGTGTTTGCACAGTTACGTGAATATGTTGTTATATTTTGCCCTTATTTTCTGAAAAATGACTTGGAAATGGACAATTAAATGTTTTTTATATTAATGACAAGAAGTATAAGTCTCATGAAATAAAATTGAGATGAAAATGAGAATAATCATGTTAAAAGTGCTGGGGTTTAGTCTCATCGGACTTGTCATTCATTGGACTCAAAACTAGTCAACGTAGAGTCAGTCATGAAGGAAAAGAACACAAAGGCATGTGTAAAAATGAGATATCTATGTGTACAAGATAAACACAAATTGTGTGTAAGCATACACATTTATCTGTTGATTATGATTGTATCTAAAAGGACAGATGTAATTATGGATTTTAGCTGGACTGGAGTCTCAGGCCTGGAGTGTCCTCTTCCACCGTGTAAGTCTACTGTTCAACTTCTGCATATTCAACTCTTATTTGGGGAACACTCTTAAAAGAAAGAGATACTGGAGTCCTTTTAGGCGTGTTAGAAAAGGCAGTGAGGAGAGGAGGCAGGATTTCATTCCTTCAAGAGCGGCGGCCCCAATTGGCTTTCTATTTCAGGAGCAAACAAACCAACCATTAATTATTTCCTGGCCGTGGTGCTTTAAGACATAATATTGAATTAAGAGTTGTGGTACAGGAAGATTAAAGTTCGAAGTTTTCAGAGGCCATTTTCTTTAAAACAAAACAAAGATCACAGTCGGCTAGATACAGTGTCTGTGTGATATGTGTGTCCTTCAAATTAATTAGTGTTGTTGGGTTTATTTGTAGCTGGTTGCTGTGTTTGACGAACAAGAACCACTCCACAAGACTGAGAGCCCCAGCGGAAACCCTGCCGGTCGGCAGAGCCCAGATGCTTTTGAGACGGAAGTGGCTGCCCAGTTGGCTGCGTTTAAACCAATTGGTGGGGAAATTGAAGTAACCCCTTCTGCTCTGAAATTAGGTATGTGTATTTTTAGTGCTATGTTTCCACCTGGTTGAAATATATCATCTTGCCGACTGTGAGTTGCTTCTACTTCATGACTTATCTCGTTAGTATCTTTCTTTAAAAAAAATCTGGTTTGTCTTTTCTCTAAATTATTTTTTTACATAGCTCTTTGCAGCTGCTGATGTTAGGCAAGTGGCTGCAGTATTTTCTTGAATTGCAGGTGAATCTGCATTGGGTGCCCTTGAAGTATCATGGGGAGGAGCTGGACTGGAGGTGATGAGGTTCGTCTGTAGCCTATGAGGATCACTTAAAAAAAAAAGTCCCTGAAAAAAGTCATTTGGAAACAGCTAAGGGTTATCAAGGCATCCAGACTGGAAATAAAGGTCACTTTCTGTTTCAGCCACCTTCTTTTTCCCCCCAAACTATATATCTCAGAGTTTGGAGGAAACATTTTGAAGTTAGTTTCTTACGTTTGTCCTACTGATTCATTCAAATAAGAACAACTTACCCAGTGAGTTTGCTCACAATTCTTTTTTGTTACATTTGTTTTGAAGGTGTTGGTAGAAAGAGAAAATAAACATTCTTCTAACGTCTCAGTGAATTTTCGACTCCAAGAGAAGTAATATGTTAGCTTTTGGTGCTACTTGGTAGAGATAAGTTTAGGTCGGTTTAGCAGCGTGAAGATTTTGAAAATCCACTAATATTTTGGTACCTTAAACAATGTTTTATTCCTGTCGTACGTATGCATGCACTTTGAGACAGCTCTAGGCGCCTGTTGTAGGTTAGTTCTCAAGCCAGAAGAACAGAGGCTTTTTCTGCTTTGCAAAGGGAATCGTATTCTTTTTAAAGCAAAGCATACTCTTAAAATTGTAAAAATTGTACCTAGTACTAGTTTTTTCCATTTGAAACAAAATGTATACTGTAAAGTTTATTTTATATACCACCATACTGAATATCCGTATTTTGTACTAATTTTATAGAAAGCATCCACAGTGCCCCTCTTATATTAAACCAAGTGGAAATTAACGCCCTGTAGTCTTCATGGTTTTCCTCTATGTTTGGAAACCAAGCCAGGGAAGCAGGCTGTTGGACCGCAGGAGGTGGAGGGCTTCGTGGCAGCTTCTCTTCACCTGGAGCGAGGTTTGTGGCTTCAGCAACCTCACAGCCCTGTCGTTGATTTGCATAATGGATGCCTTTTTATCCATTATGCAAATAGTATGGGAGGAAAATTAGGCAATAAGGGAAGACGCAAGGAGAAAATTGCTCTTGCTTGTTTTACTTTTCTATTTAGAAGCAAGCCCTGTGGTCTTCAGAAGGCTGAACCTCAGAACCCCTGTGCCTGGGAACTCATGTCCAGCTTTCTCTTTTGAGCTTTATCAGGGAAAAAAGGTGGTTTTTCCTCAGCTTTTTCACAGTTTCTTTTGTTGAACCATCTGAGCAATATAATGTTGAATGCAGGAAGAACAGTAAGCAGAGGTTCACCTTCTTTAGAAGTGAACTTTCTACTTCAATTCTGATACTTGGTAAGACAGAGATAGACAGTCCTATGTATCAAATGGTGACCACACGCCAGGCACTGAGCTCAAGGCCATGCACCGAGTGCTCTAAATCCTTTACTCACAGCTACTCATTTGAGCCTCGTACTTCTCTGATTCCCCTGACTTAAGAGATGAGGAGAAAGGAACAGAGAGGTTACGTAATTTATCCAAAATCACATAGCTACTAGGTGGCAAAGCCAGGATTTGAACGCTTGCTGGCTCCATATCAGGAACAATTTTTCTGTGCTGCCTCTCACATGCTTTTTGTGCAAGAGTAAATTGATATATTTTTCCTGAGATTTACTTCGGGAATATACGTCAAAACCCTGAAAAGGCTTGACTCCTTGGCTTCAAGTCCCGTTTCACCAGTACTGTAGATTAAAGGATGAGAGGAGCTGACTTCACTATGAGGTGGTCAACGTGGCCTTCCAGCCAGTCAGCCTGAAACCATGCCACCATCTCTAGTCCCACCGTCCCCGCTTTTTCCAGCCTTAGTGTCCGTGCAAGCCAGAGCCTTATCATCAATCAGACTGTCGCAGGGCCCCAGACTGACTTCTCTCTTTACAATCCCTGCTTCTGCCGGGTCTGCTGTTCTAAATCACAATCTGATTAGAGAACTCCCCTGACTAACAGCTTCCAGTGGCTTCCTATTGCGTGGAGAACCATGTCCAAACTCGTTGGCAAGCATTGTGGATGCTTCCTTGGAATTAGCTGGCGGAGTTTGGGCAGGGCTGAATGGTGAAAAGTCTTTCCTGTCTACTCTCATGCTGCCATCAGATTGAGTACTTTTCATTTCTCGAACTTGAAAAGCAAAGAAAAAACATATTTATTGAGTTTCTCAGATAGAGGAATTAAAGAAGGAGGCAGCACACCCAACTTTGGTTTCCATCCACTCTGTTTCCTGTTTTTGCCCTCAGGGGTGGTCAAGGTTGGACGTGGTAATCTCAGGATGGAGGAGTACGCTTGGCTGCAGAGGCAATTTCCATGGCCTTCCAGAGGTAGAGGTAGTTAGAGGAGGAGAAGCATCTGTGTTCCAGCGATTCATCACAACAGGTGCATCTAAATGCCAGATGCCGAGCCCAACTCTTCATCTCTGCTCCCCACTCGGTTCCCAGAGCCCGTGGGAACTGGCTTTCCTTCCCACGGGGCTGGTTCGCCCAGGCTGGTCTGGCAGACGCAGGGCTTTTTCTCTCTGGTTTTCTCATTCTTGGGACCCACTCAAGAGGATGGGAAATTTAATCATTATCATCTCACATGCTTATCTCACTTAAGGAGACACAACTCAACAAATATTAGGAATCAAGACATTTTTATAATTAGATCATATTAATCACCAAACATTTATGTTTTGCTGATATCTGAAACAAAAATATATTCAATGTTTGGTATAATTTTTATACCTTCTTCCAACAAAAGGTAATCGTCAATCATATTCTGTTAAAAACCAACGACAACGTTCCCCACATACAGACAGATGGTTTGGTTCCTCCTGTTCTTTTTCCATCTTCCAGGATGAAAGACTTGTGTACAGAATATACAGAAAGTTCACAGTCACGGGCTCTTCCTGATCTGGCTCCTTTCTCTCTGCCCACCTTTATTGCCGGCCACTCTTCTGCAGTCACTTTAACCTGTAGCCACTGTGAACCATTCCCATACGCCAGATTTGCTCCTTTCTTCCATCCTCTATGCCTTTGCAAGTGGGGTCCCATCACCTGGCTCACTTCTTTGCCTCTCTCCTACTTGGTGAACTTGTAGGCACTTTTGAAGCTCGAGCTCAGATATGACCTTGTTTGTGAAGCCTTGTTCAGATCTTCAAGATAATTCAGTAGGTGGACAATAAATATATTTCTTAATTCTTCATGCAACAATGAAAGGTTGCAAAGATGAATCTAAGAAATCTGCTGCTGACCTAAAGGGGTTCATAGTCTTGTACCTGGTAAGCTAATGGGGTATATATTTTTAATTTGTAAGAGGCGTTTTAGATCAAGTGAGCAGCCAGATAATTCCAACTTCATTCATCTAAATTATTTCCTACCATTTATTTTCTAATGGATTTTCTAAGGTGATGCTAAATGACTAAGTCCTGACTCAGCCTCAGCTGGCAAATCATCCTAACACTTTAAGATTCTATGTTTCTGAAATTTGCCAGTGCTTTTTACTGTGTAGCCTGGAGATGCTAACCTAAGCTTCTGTTTAAAAGAACAAACACCAGGTGGACTAGCAAGAGTCCATTTGGACTTTAAATCGCCTGGTTCAAGAATTTTCCAAGACTTCTTTATGGAACCCTGTATATGGTACTTCTTAACATGCTTTGGGATTTTAACAAATATTTGATTTTTGTTAATTAATAAATAACATTTATTCAGCACTTAAGTTCTAGATGCTATTCTAATTCATTCATGTCACTTTCTGTGCAAATAGGATTGGTTACGCTTGTAGGGAACACAGGAATGCAGAAAGCTGTTGAGTAGGCAACAGAGAACCCGAATGCCTTTTGGAAGTCCTACAGCAAAGAAACTCACCTCCACGCAAAAGAATTGTTAGTACCCTTTCAAACAACTTTTGTGAAATGCTGCTCTGGAACTGCTGGTCTAGACATTTCCATAGAATTTCATAATTAGCAATTTTCTAGACAATTGGCATTGTTTTTAAAATGAGCAAAGAAAAGCTTAGAGAGACTCACTGTGTGCTCTGGCGTCAAAGTACTAGTTGGTTAAGGAACTAGAATTGGAACCTACATCTCTTGGCTTCTACTTCATTCTTGGCTCTTTCGACTGCATGACATTTTTTGGATTAATTGTAGATTTCAATTATCCATGTCTTTTAATACTATATGTGATAAAATAGCACCTCATATCCTTTTGGAATTGAGATAGAGTGTAAATTAATAAATAGATACTATGAATAGCTGTAAATCAAAAGCTAATAAGGGAATAAAGACCAGAAAATTAAGATGAAGAAAATTTCTTTTAAATCTTTCTGTAAGTTTCGTAGATGAATTTGTTCCTGTCACCTCCTCCCATGTGTGTGTGCAGACACGTGTGCACATGCATGTGTGGGTGTTTAGGGGGAAATTGCACCGAAACCAATGTGCTAATAGGATCCCTGGGTGATTTTTTTCTGTACTGTGGATGTTGTTGTAGTCTTTTTGACATTTCGAGTATCCGTGTGTAGGGCCTCCTGTAAATAAGACAAATTAGTGAGGATAATTATTTTGAAGTTTGAAGAGTAAGTCCTTTAGCCTTCCTCCCACTCATCCCTATGCTGCCTTTATGATCACTTCTGCTGTTCCCCAAAAGACCTCAGGAGGCCATAACCCAAGGTTCACCCAATCCTTGTCCCCTGAGAACCAATGATATGGAGCTGGCCCCAGACCCTACAGTATGTTATCTAGCTATGTGCCCAGACGAGTCATTTAACCTCTATCAGAACCACATTTTTCAAACAAAAAATAAATTGGGACACATTACATATTCC